AATGACAAAAGCAAGGAGCACATTTGAAAGGACAATGAGGATACAAAATTGTACAATCTGTGCCGGGCAGTTTGGCTCGATACGATACAAGGACGTTGAGGAAGCATTGTAGCTACTACTCTATCATTCAGATTGACTTCCTAAGAAAGCTGAGCTTGTCAAAGATCATCGGTCAAAGATCCGTCATGTGATGATATCTTTGCAGAAGACACATTCAACGAGCGAGGCCCTTTTACCGGTTGTGCCACTTCAAGCTTCTAAACGAATCTGAAATCAGTGGACGACTGATCGGACGACACACTGGGGCGCTTTAGAAGATCAGTTCCGAGAACTTGCCTCGAGATAGTCTTCTCTTCTAGCAGCTTGGCTGCTTCTAAGGAAGTTTTATACTAAGTGCCCAAGAGCACGAAAATTCCTCGGAGCCATCCTCACGAAGCGGTATGAGCTATGTCCACGCAAGGGACTTATGTCAGTGCACTCGCAATGTTCGAAGTCAAGGTGGAAGGGAAGGGAAGGGAAGGTTTCAACTTTTGTGACACAGAATGTGCTTCGCTAGGAGAAAGAGAACCTTCTCGATTTGGAGGCGCGATGTGTCCAAAGGATCGTGCTGGCGAGAGAATACTCGGCCTTCTTCATCGAGACTTCTATTCTACAATGGGATTCTGCAGTCGGCTCCAACGAAGTCTTCCCATTGTCAAGACGACATTTCCATGCTATAGAACCTTCTAGACATGGTTCGAGCATGGTGAGACCAAACGTCAAGTACGTGCAAGGATGGAGGTCGCTCTAACACGGGAGCATAAGTAGTATTACAGTAAGGAGGAGATGGTGTCTGAGTTAATTTGATTCAATTTTTCTAAACCTGGAGAATAAATGGACACGCAGATGTTTGCGAGCACTCTCGGTTATAATTCTTACAAACTAGAAAAAAATTCATGGAAGGAGGAAAATCTATTCGATCATATGATTATATCATTCTTATCATCTTCATAAAAGTTTATCTTGCAGTTTATGACGGCTTTCAGAGTAAACGTTTTAATTCACCATAAATGTTTTACTTAAGTGAGCCGTAGAGATTGGACTTTAGCCAAGATCACTAAACACAAACTATGAATTAAAACATCAGCATCATTATTATTTCATCAGTTTCAAGTTGCTATTTCTTCTCGTTATTAATTGCAACTGGTATTGTCAGTGTGATAATATATATATATATATATATAAATTTCATTCCTAAGCTTGAATTTATTTTGGAATTCGTTCAATCAATTGGATTTCAGAGAATAGTTATCTTTCTTGTAGGTTGGAGCAGGCTTGGCCACGGTCCCGTTAACGGGTTTAGGAAAAAAGTGTACCGGTTAACAGGTCCCAGAGATAATTGGGACCGGTTAAACGGGACAGACGGTTAACTGCCAGTCCGGAGCAGACCGTGTCCAACTCTACAACCGTAGTAGATTGGGAATCAATAAGGCTACTTACTGATATTTTGAAAACATTTGAGAACTTCTTCAGATACATTAGGAACTGAAAGGCACGATTACAATTTTCACCGGAAAAACTATTATTTGAGTCCAAAATTTTTTCAATTGAGAAGTTATGCGTTTTGGTACGGTAATTCAAAGCTGGAATTATTTGGATTACCTTTGACATTCTTAAGAGAATTTTGAAGAGTAAAATTTAAGTCAATCTCATGACCGCAAGAGAAATAATCACTACCATAAAGATAACAAGAAGTAGCTTGAATCTCCATTATATATCAACTCAACTCTGCAAAGTCACAGCACTATTAATCTCAAATCATAATGTTTGATAATAATCAGAATATGACATTCTAATCTTCTAAACTTTTTCTTATTAGATCTGCATACATATATAATTTCATAAAGTATTTTTCCAGGTTTAACTACAGCGTTTAAAAAAATATTTTGACAAATTCTTTTTCATGTATTCAGGTAAAAAAATGCTTCCAAATTCAAAATTTTAATTTTAATTTAAAATTCACTTCTATGTACATTAAAGTAAATTTCTTATTTTTTTATAAAAAAAATAATTTATTTAATTTAAAAATGTAAAAATCTATCTTCTTAATACCGTATTTCTCATCTAAAAGATTTGAAATCTAATGATGCTATCAAAAAATTTTTGACAAATGTGAAGGTAAAATATACTCATTCATAAAATTAATTTAATGTATCATTGTTTTCATAAATATGTCTAGCAATTTAAAATATAATTGAACAAAAATTTCAATTCAAAAACTTCAGATTTTCTTTGTAAAGTTTATCAATTAAAGGTGTACTTTGATGATCAATGAGAATTTAGAGATGAATTTTTAACAAAGGGGAAAAATAATTTTTACTCAAACATTTTATGTTAATATATATATATATAAATAATTTTATAACAATTTTCATGTTATTTTTAAAAATACTACAATCTTAGTGATTTAAAATTTGCAAAATATACTATAATAATTTGATAAAAAAAATTTCAATCATGCATTGAAGGTATAAGATTTGCATCATCTATTCATTTCCAAGTTTGTGTCTTGACTTTGTTCATTTATGTATATTGTCATCAACACATTTGATTTTGATTTTAATTTAAATTCACTATTTATTTATTGAAATAAAAATGAATTTATTGTGTTTTGAAAATTCGATTTTTTAAATAATGTAACTATTTTTAGTTATTTAGAAATAAAATAAACGTAATTCAAGATGAAATAGAATTGACTTATAATGGAAAATACATAGTTGTCATGTATGTGATCCGCATACTGGATAAAATAAAAGTGTAAGTGTAAATCGCGACATCTCTACAATCCATATGTTTTTTAGATAAGAATTGCAAGTTAGTTGAGAAATATGTGCTTGTTAGATCTATTTATCATATCATCAATTTATTTGGAATGCAATGATACCTGTACCTGTTGGAAATATTTAGATAAGTAATAAAAAACGTATGTTAGTTATCTCTAATCTCTACTTATACTCAATGTTTCATATAAAATGTGAGTATTGATATTTCATATGGAGTTGACGTTAATATATCCAACAGTAGTAGATTCGACGTCCAAGTTTCTCTTCAGTTTGCAACGCGGACGTTGATATACAACTCCAGCAAAGCCATCATTGGCCTATTAGGTGCTCTGTTGTGTCTCGAACAAGATTGGGCTGCGATGGAGTGCCATGATGGAAACTCTCCCAATGTTTATGATTGCAATTGATCGGATTGGAGAGGCGTAATAACGTGAAAGACGAAACCAAGGGAGGAAGTCATGTGATGATAACCTTCCGAGGCTATTCGAAATGTTGACTCGGCAGATTTGTTGTGAACAGCCAATTCAGCGGTGTCAAAGTACTGTACTGCCTCAAATATTACACATAAAGAGCCTTCGACGTTCATACGAATGCTTTTTTGCTTAAAGGCAAACCGCACCTAAACATAAGTAGCTCGTCATTAACCTTCATAGAACATCTACAAGTTCTACATAATTTCGTATTTCATACAATTGCAACCTTAACTAGATAGGAGAGTGTATGGATAACATAGCATTGCAAATAGAGCGGGTTGTCCAATCAACAGCTTTCAGATTCTAAATGTGTTTGGCGTTAATCTCGCCACGGAGAGAAATAGGTCTCAAAGTATGTGCCATTTTCAAATTGACTAATTAATTCTCATCAATCTCAACAACGTCCACTTCTTATCAATTCGATTCAGTTGTATATATAAATTTGATTCATTTTTAAAATATTCACTGCTTGTATATACACTATAGAAATATAAAAATTTCATTGATTATGTTTTAATTTATATTAAGTCATAATTTTTTTTCTTGAACCGGTACGTATGTGTATGTGTAGGTTGTTGTTAGTAATCTATATTAAATTGATTTTATTCTTATGTTAAAATTTTATGAAAATTTATTTTATAATGATTTGTATCATGATGAACATTTTTTCAATGTTAAGAAGACTCGTTGTATATAAGAATTAGATTATAAATTTAAAACACTCCATCAACATATGTTAAACCTAAAAATATCAATGCAGGTGTTTAAATTGTTCATTTACAATCAAGGCAGAATTCGTTACCTAAACAATAAATTTTGATTGTAATGTTTGCGTCCTACGGAGAGTTGTTGGTCACTTCTAAGTCACCTGGCTCAAATTTCAACCACATGAGGATTGACTCTTCAAATTTGTGAACAATCGTATATTCGGTTGTAAATTACTTCACTTCATGGATTTGTGTTCAATTGAGACCTGTAGAACTACAATTACAGCACAACATGTAATTTCCTTGGTAGTTCAGTGACACAAGACAAATAACCTTTACTCCGTTCACTTTTACTTTAAGGTGAATAATTGTGCAATTTCTTGGTTGTATTCTGAAGATTTTCTCGTTGACCAAAAAATTGTAAGTGTCATGGTATGAATACAATTTACCTTGATTATTTATACAACTATTCCAGCTATTCTATCCAGTTCAGATGCTTCCATCCACTCGGATAGAAGGATCTTCATACACTCATAATTCACAGGAGTCTAAGACCTGTTGGTGACGCAATCACGTTGAGGAACATCAATATGACTAGCTACGAATCCAAATCTCGGCTCCATTTTGAGCTTGACTAAGAACCGCAATGACACTCTGCTTCAGTGCTATGGCTAACACATACCTCCCTACACCATGTGCTTACCAAATATGCGGCAATGCAGCCCATAATAACTTGAGGCTAAAGGGGGGTTTCCTTGTGCATGACCCAAGGGAATGACGTGTGCTCTAAAGCACAATATGAATACGATTTCTCTTGATTCCAGTAGGTAGGCTTGATGTTCCCGGGTTTATAAGTGCAATCAATCACAATACACTTTGCATACAGAAGGAAGTGACCTTCTGAATGTGGCACATCTATTTTGTACACAATTCAGACAGCAAGTGCGTGTCACACGTAAATCAAACTCACAATGTGCGACAAGAAGGAACAAAATTCTCCTGAGTGGACCCACTCGTGTTATTCATTCACATGTCACTTGCTGCAAGGAACATAACAAACCATGTCTACTATCATCGTAGAAGAACATGAGGTGGGAATGCACGGGCGAGTAAAATTAGATAGCAAGCCCCGGAGGTTGCATGTCGACATCACGGAGTGCTGCGGTACATACAATACCCACAGAGAGAACCGAATTGGAGTTGACAAAATCTCCACAACCTCATGCAACGCCTGAACAGAAGTTCGAAGTTGTGACTGCCTTGTACGGACTTCGTCACCACTTCCCCTGATGAACTACTTTCTGGAATACAGACCTCGATGACAGGAGTCCAGCTCGATGCAACAGCGCTTCTTTGATTACACACAAGCCGAGAAGTCAGAGCCGAAGATCCTGACCTCTGAGAGTCCTCATTCCATGCAGTGTGTGGTCCACATAGGTTTCAGATACATAGAGCAGCATGAAAGAACTCATCTTCCTCCTGCCTGCCTCATCTGCCTGAACTTGGAAACGGGTCTTGATGGCTGTTCTTCAACCTGATTACAAAACGGACAAATTAATCCTCATCTCAACTAGGAGACCCTCAAGGACACGGAAAACTTACTTCATATCTTAGTGTAAGAAGCAAAAGTTAGACTTTTCCAAGTTCGTGCTTCGAACGTTAATCCACCATTACGTGTGGAGGGATTGATACTGCTACTAATACTAATGTTTCTTCAAAACCATAAACCCTTCATTCCAGAACAGGAACTTTAGCCAACACATTCTCACAAATGGCACTTATGATATAGGTCCCATGGAAAGGAAACGGATAAAAAAACAAAATATATTGGAGTCAGAAACAGGACAGCATTGAACTCATATTCCAACTAAAATGTAAATATACCTGTTGATCACTCTGGTTGTTAGACTTTACCATCCGATCTGTTACGGTTCCTGTGCCACTTCGATTAGTGGGCCTAGAATTTGGCTCTGATGCAATTCCTGCACGATTCGTAACTGTAGATCTCACGTTGTGCTCAGTCACTGTTCCCGTAAATGCCTACAGTGAGCCCATTTGGATCAAGATGTGATTGTAAGTTCATGGAACCTAGGGCACATCATAATTCAAAAAAATACTAACTGCTCACGATTTGATTTGAAGGACTGTAGAAACTACTCAATACTTATAAAAAAACCTTTCCTACGCTCATCAGAGGCGAAATGACCACGAACTGGAATGAGAGTGAGCTGATTTTGTTACACTTGAAACTATTGCAGAAGCACAGTGAGGAGGGTTGACCAGTATGCCCAGGGCTCCAAGCGGTGCACAGCGTCATGCAATGCATGAGAATGACAAAACGAGGGGAAGCCAGCTGGTACTGGTGGAACAGCGGAAAAGATACATTGAAACTATCAAGACCAGGTCAGAAAAGAAACTTTCAAAGTAGAGAATAAACTGGACCTGCGTCTGCCCTGGTGTAGGTTGAGCCATCTTTTGACCTCTTGTCTCGTCGATGTTAACAGGATTGACAACATTCGTCTTCCCTGCCTCCTGTCCTAGCACAAATCCTGACAATCCAGAGAGGCAAACTCAAAGACTATACCAAGACTGTTGATACTGTGTGTTGTCGTTACAACTATCTACCAATTTTCTGTCATTATGGACAAATGCTGGGCAGGTCTGAACGAGAAAGTGCATACTGCTTACAAGAACAAGATAAGCAAGAATGAGTCAACAAGCTTCATATACACACCTTGCTTGCTCGACTCTTGCGTCCTCCAATCCTTTAGCTGGTTCACAACACAGCACAAACAACTTTTGAGCACTCTTATTGCTAGTATCTAATGCATCAATCACCGGTCTTGGGCCGAAAAAGGTAATATCTGATACGTTCCCAGCCATCTTCATGCAGTTGACAACATTAGAACCATGATCTAAATTGCAAGAATAATGCTGAAACCGAACCTTTTGCAACTCATTCTGCCCTTGCATATCTGGTATCTCAAGACCGCTACACGAGGTGTCTTTATCCGCTGCGAATGAAACTTTCTTCGCTGGAGTATCTCGACTCTGTGAAACCAGAGGCTGCTGAGCATGCTCAGAGTCGGTGCGTGCCTTGACAGAATCAGCAAATTCTCGGGCAAATCTTGATAAAGGTCTAGTCTTCTTCGACACTTCTGCCGGCATTTCGATTACACCCTTGCCTTGACCAGTACGAATAGACTCAGCTCCTTGATTTGATGAGAACCTATTATGAGCTCTACTTTCTTCGTCTTCTTCCTCTATGTCATATTCTTCCTCCGAACCAGATCCACCGAGCATGCTGTCTTCCTCGTCAGAATCCTCACCATCATAATCTTCAGCTTCGGACCTATTAAGTTTTTCCAGCAAAGTTGCTTTCTGATCCTTGGAGAGATAAGACTTTGATTTCGTTATGGCTTCCGCAGCATCGAGTTCATCGTCGTTGGAGATATTTTCTTCGTCACTCATATCCTCTTCGTCACTCGTCCGTCCTGCAGCTTCTTCAGCAGCTTCCAAAGCCTCTATTCTAGCCATTATCAGCTTATGTTCTTCGTCTTCATCCATGGAACTATGACTGCTTCGAAGGGAGGCTGCGTGACTACTCTCACCTTCGAAATTGCTTTTGTCCTGATTTGGGTCATCTGGAAGAGAAAAGAAAGTAGGCGAAAACATTAGCTATCATTGAGCGTTACCGTAGATGTATAAGTCTAATGATGACAAGACCAGCAGACTGCAACTGAACTGGAAAAGACTGCATCCAGGACTCCTGTCTGGTTCAATGACGCTCTTTACCTACAGGCAAGACACACACCCAATTTAGAGCAAAAACTTGGGACAAGTCATATCGGGTATTAAAAGAGTCTACTATCTCATAAATCAGCGTCAACTTACCTCTATTTCTGATGGTAATTCTCGGTACTTGGTCAAAGGATTTATCGGACTCTTCCAAGATTTGTTCTCTAATCTCCACAACCCCAGCCTGCAAGACGTAGTCCTCATAGTTCATGCACATGCTCGATACGAACCCGGTGCATTTGGCAAAATAGAGCACACTGAAAAATTCATTCGATTGTGCAGTTCTCTCAACAGTAAATCTCATTCACTATCCCAATTGTGCTACAAGAAAGAAGCACACCTTAGCTTCGGCTGCTGTGTTGCTGGCAAAAGCACCTTCCGCTTCTAGGTCAGCGATTTGAGATTCAACACTGGAAATCTTCCTCAAGAGAAATTCATTTCGTCTTTCAAGGATGTTCACAGTTTGTTTGGACGAACGTTCTCCATAATAACCTTCTCCAAGCAAAACCTGAACTATCATCACCAGCCATTTCACAGGAACGTTGAAGAAGGTAAGAAATTTACTTCCTCAATTCCTCTGCCCACTTGCACAAAGCTTATAAAGCTCACTCCAGATACGACAAAACCTATGTTCCAGGGTTGAAGAAATCTGCTAACAGCTTATCCATGACACTTGCATTGGGTTGCAGCAGACGAAACTCTTGATCTAACATCGAAACAAGGAAGACTTTCAACACCTGTTAAATAGATACAGTAGTTACAGATGGAATGGACGGCAAGCACAGCTGTTCTGGTACAAACGGGTAATGCAAACAAACCACTTACCATTCTACAAATCATTCAGAGCAAGTGTGGTGAGTTTAAAAATACCAGAAACTCATTCGTGTGTATCAGACGTCCAGGGAAGAATGCAGCTTTTCCAAATGGCACCTGTCATTGTATCAGGCTAAAGATTATCATAGTGCCAAACTCGCCGCTGATAATAAAATTCTTATCAACAAACTTCAAAAAAAAAATAAAGCATTTGAGGAAAGCCCAGGAAGGAGCTACGCGAGATACAGTGTAGAGTCGAGCGAGGGAAAGAGACAACTTCCTGCCAGCTCTGAAATCACTCGAACCCAGCTAAGTGCTGAAGAAATTCCAACAATTCAGTGAGGAGGCAGTCAGCACGACAATCAACGCACCATGACGTTATGAGAAACGGAGTCCGGGAGCTGCGTTACAAGTCCTGACAAGACCTTGTTCTCATCACGGTAACTCTGCAGCTCCTTCAGGTACTCCTGCTGCTTGTCCACCTCCTCGCGCACCTGCCTGGCGGCTCTTTCAGCGTCTGCAATCGAGATCGTCTCCGACAGAGGAATCACGGTACCCTTCACACTACTTGCCATGGCTCCAATCCCTCACCGAAACTCCACTTCGCTGCGCTACCCTACATATCAGCGAATGACCACTACAAACAAAAACCCCTCCGAGAGAGAAATGCGATCCCACAGACAAACGAGTGCTGGAACGAAGAAAGCTGCACTTGGCGAGGCGACCTCACGGCTCACGAGACGGCATTCGATCCGAGAAAGTTGTGCTGCTTGCGAAGCAGGAACAGATTCACATTCTCCGAAGCTTTGCGGCCGGCGCACTGTCGGCACGTGGAGAATCTGCGCAAAAGGTCGACGAGGAGCTCACAGACAACAAAACCCCAGCTGCTGGAATGGAACCCTGTGGCCAGCGGACTGCAGAGCGATTAACGAACTGACCTCGAGGGCCCGAGGCGAGGCCTCCTCCTCCTCCTCCTTCTGGGGCCTGCCGCTCGGGGCACCTTTGCGCTGCTCTGGCCCGCTCCAGTTGCGCCAGTTGCGCCAATTGCGCCCTTGGCATGTGCGCCACAGTTCGCCCGCCAACGACCGCTTTGTTTTGTTCTGCCGCGCGTGAGCCCCCGAGTCTGTCCTCGTATCCGCCGGTCTCCCGCTTTTCATTTTTGGGCTGTTTTCCACATTTTTTCTGCTGCATTAAAGCGAGGTGGAGATTCGAGATTATTACGGTAGTAAAGTTCTTAATAGAATAGGTTTGGCTTGTGCACCTCATGTTACTTGAGTATTAGTTTGTTCCGAGTGGCATCGAGCTGAAAGGGTCGAGTGGAGGAGAGGGAAGACCAAATAAATAAACGAGCTTTGAATAAATAAAGCACAAGGTATTAAGTGGCATATAAGAGATAGTGATCTTAATTCAGTTGGACATTTGGGTACGGGACGACCTCTCAAGTCTCGGGGAAAACCTCTTCCAGTGAGGAGCCCAAAAATGTAGCAACAAGGATGGGAATACCCCATCGATCGACAAAAATCCAAAAATCGAAATCGATGAAACCAACAAAGGACGACAAGTGCATCTATGTGCTTCTACTACACCTGAAGTATTCAAAGAATTCAAGTACATCGTTCTACACATTGAGTGCGTTAACTATTGCTCCAAGTAAATTCGTGGATACTTTTATCCCCAACAAAAGGTATACCACAAGCTAAGAGAAATACCCTCCTAGCCTTATGCTTTTGTGTAGGCTCTCACAATCTGTCAAAGCAAATTGGTATATCTCCATATTACTCCAAGGTATAGAATTAGAGATACGAGTATTAAATCTGAATATATCCCAATACTTTCCCAAACTGCCCAGGTTTGCTTTCTATGCATTATACATTCGAGACGATGTGCTATCACCACCTTAAATTCTTACATGTAAATACTTTGTCCCGTCAAGCATCTGTAATAAAAAAGTCAATGAAGAATAAATGTGGGTCCGAAAGTTTTTTGGACCCACATTACAAGCCATACTAAGACTAGCTTCATGTGATTAATCATCTTCTGAAGTTATAACAAACAAAAATTATGCAACGAGTCATATGATCCTTTTTGTATCCAAGAAGTTGCAAACTCACCTCTAGTCCATGAAGATGCATGCGAATAGAAAATGCGAATACAAAATTTCATCTCAATAATGATGAATATACATATAATAATCAAACGTCCTTATATTTATTGATCCAAAAATTAATTAACAAAAAGTTAGTTCATCACATATAATCATTGAAATTACATAAATAAAGTCATTGTTTTTTATCTCAAGAAGAAATTAATCTTGAAGATTAATTACTTCTTGAGAAGATATAAATATTTAAAATTGCTACAAAACGTAAAAACGTCAAAAGATAAAATTCTGGATTTTACGTATGAATTATTAATAAATGTCTCATGCTTTTTTTCAATTTTGAGATAATAATTTGTAATCATACGTTTGCTAAAAAAATTAACTTATAAAAAATATTATCATGCAAAGTCTATTAATGTCTATTTTTATTTTTTTTACATCGTGATCTCATGGAAATTACATTTTTATGTATTTCATGCATGTTATCAGTCTTGATGACGATGATTTTTTAAAAAAACTAGGCGAAAAAACTTGATCATCAAAAACATCGGGTATCACTGGAAAAATGATCTAGGGTGATAAAATTCATCACATGCATCTATCAGAATCATGGAATGACTGATGTAATACGAACTTGTTTGCCTTATCCGAAACCTTTAATCCAATTATTTTTTAAACATTAATATCCATAAATTGTCTTGGAATTTTTTTTTCATTGTCTACTTTTTAGTAAAATGGAAATAGTTTTCAACCAGCAATTGACGCGTCTCGGTTTCATTTCACTAACTGCTTCATTGCCCCAAGCGCAAAGATACATAAGGAAAGCATAAGAAAGTACATTTCTTTGAAGATTAAATTTTCACCTAGGAAACATAAGTAATTTTTCATAAATTCATGTTATTGCGCTATTTAATCTTCTCGATTTTCTCACGCATTAAGATTTACAAGATATAAGGGCTGGCTATCGCCAGAAAGCATGCTACCATCTGAGCGCCAGCTGACTTGAAACAGACTACAACTGGGTGCACATCAGTCCAAAACTTGTTGGGACAAACACCCGCATTCCGACAACACATCACGAAGATTTATCCGCCCACGATAGGCTTCAGTGAATGAGCAGCAAGAGTCAACTTGCGCTCTGGCGCAAAACAGTGGATGCAATTCTCGAGTGCTTCAATGGCAAGTCAACCGGGTCAATGCTTGAACCCTCGAGACATCATCTGCAATTCAGAGATGATTTAAAAACATGTTGAAGGTCTACATGTAATTCGGCAACCACACATTCATCTGTAGGAAGACGATTACACTCATTTAGTACTCATAGCCTCCATTCAGCATTTGGACTTCTTGATTGTTGAGTTTTAGATGCTAAAATTATTTATCATAGTTACTGCAATTTAAAGTAATTTTTTATTCTAATGGAGGATATTCCACTGTAGATGTATTATGAATGAAAGTGAAGTATGAAATTTTGTTAAGAAATCTAAAAAGATGCAAAGTTGATTGTCATTGAAAGTTCACATGCCCATTGAAAGAAGTTGTAAAATTTACATACAGTAATTAATGCTATATATACATATAGCATCAAGTAGTGTATAAACTTTGCAATGGTTTATGGAGTTAACACAATAAGCTTTCATTCTTAGCTTGATTCTAACTTCTAAAGTAATAAATTATTACTCATAACTTTCACAAGAGATGAAGTTCACATTCTTCTGTACGTTGAGCCACTCGTTGTTTCTTTGTTACAAGTGCTCTGGTGCAAATGGGTGGTCAAAGACCATTTACTCAATAATTATATGAGGGTTATAATTTTATATGAAAGCTGGAGAAGTTTTACAAATTACAATTTGAACTAGAATATAAGAATATGGTTGCGCGGTTAAAACTTCAGTGCAAATCATATTCAAAGACTGAGATAAATCTACTGAGGCGCACCTACTCCTACGCTAATGGAGCCGGTGCACCCAGTGCTCAGGCATACGAACTGTAGGCACACATGCAGCCCAAAGTGGGTGAGGGAAGCCTTTTCGCTTATTCCTTCTCGGATTCCGGAGGTAAAGCTTTCGTCCTCGTATTTGCTGTAAATTGCCCACTTCCTCCTCTGAAGGTATAGTGGGGAAATACCGTTCTGCCATTTCTCCTCGCTCATACACCTGCACCAAGCACTGTAACCTGACATTTGTGAATTATTGCACGTGTGACTCCATTAACTCACTCATTTTGGTGGTAGTTTTTTACTTGGATATCAAAAAATAAACATTTGATAGAAGATATTATATAATGGTATATCTTCTTGTTATTTAATTAACGAATGAAATTCATAAAGAACACTCAAGTTAATCGACAACAGTATATATATAAATTTTATTACGGAGTAAAGACAAATTTGATACACAATTATAAGTTTCATGCTCATGTGGCCTAGCGCCACGTATCACTTCCTCAACGAAATGAATGTTTTCTTAGACGATTTTTTGGAGGGTCTGTTATGAACATTGGTCTATGCACGCCCTTTCTGGGGATCATAAATGCTAGAATTTGAAATTCTCTGAATCGAGTCAATGCTTGATATATTCGGTCCTGGTTGATCCGCGAGTGGATATCACAGCACAGTAGAAGTCAGTGTCGCGCTGGCAGGCTTTTGTTTTGTGGACTCTGAAACGGGGCACGCGAACTCATGAATAAATAATATATTCTCCGCCTAGCCAGGAAACCTTTTCCGTGTATGGTGGACTATTTGATTTCCGAGTACAGTGGAGGCTCAGGGTCGAGCCTCAAGCATGAATCCCGGTACAGCTTCGGACTTCGAAGTGCCTCGACCATAACTTGCGATTTTCTATAAAAATCATAAATCAGATCATGTGACGGATTTGTAGAGAGGGTAGCCGCTTAATTTTCGATGTCCGCTCGTATGAGGCAAGAGGGTTGATGTGCGAAGGCCTTGATTGTGTTTGAAGGAGATGAACCGCACCGCTCGATTTCATTTTATGTAACGCCGACTAATATTTATAAAATTAAACGGGGTCATATGGATGACAGTAAATCTGGCAAAATCAATACGATATTTAGTTGTCCAATATTTATGATAATTTGATATCAATTTTGAAATAGAATTATGTGCAAATGGCATGCATATCTAGTTTTTCATCATTGAAAATGAATTTTTCCGTACATACAAAATACAAAAAAATTTCATATTTTAGCGTCTACAATGTTAGAACTACGTATACTTTTCTCTAAATAAAATCAAAAAATGATATCTAAGTAAAAAATGTATTTGAAGTATGTTATAAACTCTTATATATCTTCACACAAATGAATTAAAAGCGATAAGACATAACTAGACCCCAACATCTTCACAACGAATGTTGACGACGTCACATGTCCATCGTGAATCGCTTCGTATGTTGGTGGTACCAATGCTCATGCCATTCAGGTTCGAGGTTAGCCCAGTAGTCGATGAGACAATCGGTCTGTGCGTATTCCATAAAAATCTCCGCGGGCAGACGAAATCTGACGAAGCTCTCACGGACGCTCCCCCACAGCAGCTTGCTTTCGTCAGTTCCTCAGTGCAGCTGCAGTCTCTTATCGAGATATGTGGACATCAAAACTGGTCAATTCCAAGTTAGTGGTCGTTGCAAGTGCGAAGCGGAACATGAACATGTTGCACTTGACCGAGAGTCCACAAGGGGAGGATCGGTACACAGCATGTAAATTCTCGAACTGAAAATGTTATGATAACTATCTTCAAACTTTGGATACTCTGGAATAGATCTTATACATAAAACTTCTCTCTGTATCTGGAATTCTTTTCCTTTTGTCCTAGGCAATGGAATCAGATAACTTGTGTTCACAATTTTCGAGGCTGCGAACAGGAAATCGGATGTAGACTTGTTGACACTGGCGGAAGCTCGTGTGCATGAACGCACCGAGCATTCGTAGGTTATACAGCTACATTGTGCTTTATGACGACATTCATGGAAGGCCAAGGAAGTGCATGTACATTCCACTCTCGATGTGTGGATATGATGAGACTGCACAGCGATGGAGGTGTTCTACGAAACCATCTCGGGTAATCTCAGTTTCATCGTTCCATGTGTAGTGCATGTGGTCGAGATTAAAATTGCCTCTCTCAATCAAGTTCAGCTGACGCAGATGGTCTCTAGAGCAGTGACGTTGCTAGACACGAGCAACACTCACTCGTGGAAGACTTGGTTTGTATAGATTAATTCTACAGATATTTCGAGTCGGACGCATCCTTGAAAATTACACGCGGTGAAGTTAGAAACAAGCAAGCATACATTTGGCCGAGATTACAAAATGCAAAAATCTTGTTTGCGTGAATCCAGATTGTTCGTTTGTATTCGTGCAGTCTCTTCTTATAAGAAATGTACATGGAGCAGTCGTGTCAAATCACAGATCACATCAGGACATATGTTCAGCGCATGACGTGCCCTCCCATCATCGTAGCTGAACTGGTCTACTGAAGCAAGACTCGTGACGTTGAGGATGAGTTATCAAATTCTTCAGAGAGTTAAGCGTCTTCATACGCAGTAATAATTTACAACCCCTTGAGACCTTGATTAGGAAAAATTGACACACAACATATCACCCTAACAATGATAGACAAGAAAGATCAGAGATTTTCAGCCAGGTTGAAATATTATGAGCTTTTATTGAACCACGTACCGACAAACTGTGCCCTATTACAAACAGGGTCGATGGATTGTCTGTCTTCATAGACTCTTGCATCGAGGGTAGTTTTCCCCCAAAGGTTGAGTTTCGAGCGGATTGCTTTTTCACGATATATATTTCAGAAATATGGTATTCACAGGGTTATTATTTTTGACACTAACATTCTTAACTGAATTCGCCAGATAGGATTCGTGTGTTACACGAATCCTATCTAGCGAAAAGAAGAGTACCCATGTACAGTGTTACAGTCCTGAAATCTCTCTATAACAATCAATAGATTATGTGGATGTTGACAGAACTTGGTCGGTTAGTCTCAACGTTGGCGCACCACGGGGAAGACCTCACTCTGGTGGATAATGAACTCGGACGTTGAGTGACTTTAGTACTCCAGGCCCACCAGATTGTGGCGGGCACTACGACCTGCCCTTGTCATGGAGATAATCCATCTGTAGTTTATATTCAATAGGAAGATAATAAAGTCGCTGTCTGTCACCACGTTGCAAGTCAGATCTGACGATTAAGGACAATGTTAAGGACAACGACATCTGTTCATACGGCGAGGAGTTCAGTGAAGGGGGTGGACTGACATGACCTGTACCTGAACCTAAACCTTTGAGAAATTTGAACTTAGGTAAGACTTCTCCTCGAAACCCACAGCAGAAATGATTTGTGGGTACCCTCTTTTGGGAGACATTTGAGGTTATGAATTATTTAATAACGGAGAATGATTGCCCAGCGATTGTGCAACTCCACGCTTCCTCACAGTGTATTATGAGATTTCACATTTGAGCTAGTTCGATCATTCCCCATGTCTTTCTCTAAGAATGCAACATTGAGTTCTCTCCTCGATCCTTCAGAATGGACATGATGCACTTGTCTGTCCTGGCATTGAAGCGAGTTGACCTCCCAGTAAGGGTAACTTTAATTTTTGTTCGCGTTGCTCACGGAAGAAGAAGCAGAAGATGAGCAAGAAGATCCAGGAACAAGGTCCTGAAATGTCCAAGGTGAAGATCATGGCAATGAATGAGGTGGTGATCACAGAGCCGTGGTTGTCGTTTCTTTCGCTTGTCTAGAAGCTCGAGACAATCAAGGTACTGTAATTGATGGAATGATAGTACAGTATATCCATGAGCAATGACATCAAAACATCCAAGTATATGGCTATGGAGAAAGATTAACTCTTGGTTTCTCATGCACTCAATGCACATAGAGCTATAGTATTGGTATAGTTTGGAACAACAATTTCCAAGGTTTGGGGTATAAGATAACGCGAAGGGATTAATTCTTTGTCTCTTTGACCGTTGAGATATAAGAAATTATAAAAACCAACGGATAAAAGTGAATGACGCAGAGCATGTCACAGTAACATCTAAACCATTCATCGAGATTGTTAGAGTATCTTACATGCGATATGATATACAAGGATTGCATGTGAGAGGAAAGAAAGCAGGGGAACTGTGAAACTTTTGTGCATTTATTGTCAGAAATCGGTGAGTGTTCAGCATTTGACCTGGATTTCCAGGAACTTGTGGATCGATTTGCATTTCCTTCAGGGTCCTCTAAGTGGAAGGATGGTGGTGGAAGGATTCGTAGAACTTGTAGAACTCTTATCCAGGCAATGTCGTTCCTGGAGTACAAGTGCTAGCAAGAAAGGTCGAGTTCATGCTTGTTTCGAATAATGTAGATCTCATTTTATGTTAGCTTCTATAAGCTTTCCATCCTAGAATTGCCCTTTTATGACACAAAAGTGCATGTTAATGCGTTTTGCATAATGAGCGAACATTGGGATTTTGCGCTAGACACAAGCTATACCTCATGATGGACCTGATGTGCATGAAGTGTGCCTCTTCGCAAGCAAGCCTAGAAACTCCGTTACCATCACAACATGTCGTGAGACTTCAAGTAGCTCTTTGAACTGAATCCTGATGCTCATTGAAATTTCTCCATATGAAGAAAGTACGTTGCAGAACACACCATGCTTCTGGTGCATAAATCAAAGGATGCAACAAGCGAATAATGCTTTAGTGACAAAACCTGAGTATCCTGTGGCAAGAGCTTGCGGGAAAATGGCGAGAAAAGTGGTGAAGGTGTTATAAACCCGCTCAAGTTGATGCTGCCGGTTCCAGAAAAGCTCCACATTCCGAGCTAAAAAATAACGCAGGCATTGCAGTTTGATGATATTTCTTGAAACATCACTAGGACGTCTTTTGATGACATCTTGTGTGACACTCCAGCACAGCAACAATCTTTCTTATAACTGAACTGTTCCATCAGTCTGTGATCTGATCATCTGGACCAAAATCTCCTCTTTCATGTTATCAGCTCATGATCATTTAGTAAGGCCTTGGGCAAACCAGGCTGTTTTGGATAATAATTGTCCTTTCTTAATGACATCAGTTCTTACGCTCATTCACAAGTATTCCAACCCTGCGACCGGAAGCAGCCGGTCCCCAGTCACCTTACACACCGAGAGGTACCTAAGTTTTAAAGGTGAGGGACTGGATCATGGATGCTATTATGGAAAGTTACAGTACCAAATAATACAACTCTTTGCCGGAGAAAAACAACGCCATAACTTTGACTTCTCTATGTGTAATTTGGGTCTACCCCTCGAGGCAGAGAGTGCTTTAGAACTTATTCATTGTCAAAGAACATAAGTAATTTTTTTCTTCAATGTCCAAAAGGTCAAATATACCCTTTCCATTGATTTTTAACACAGGTTACTATCAAATTTGGGATGACCTGATGAGGATAATTGAGGGAAAATGGAGCTCAATCGAAGTATACAGTCTTTGCAATCGTGTACATGAGAGTATACTCAATAATGATATTAAATGTTAGTGATCACCTCATACAAGAATCTTGTTATGAAAAGCGTTGGTGTCAATATCCTGAGCATGTTTTGGAAGTTAGGATATTGTAGAGGGAGTTTCATTGTGATGACCACGTTACCTTTCTGGTTCCGTCTCGGTTTGAATAAATACAGTCCTTCAAAGGATCGAAATCTACCGAGTGGGACATTTTTTCAATCGAAGAAGTTCTTCCAAAAAAAACAATTAGGCCATCACAATTGTTTAAACTGTTATTCCTGCTCTACTGAACAAATAAATAAATGCAGCAGAATTGGCTTTCTCGTGCCACATCACAAGTTCTCGTGGAGTCAGTACAGGACAGCGACAATTGTCGACGCTCGGAAAGATTGTTCTGAAGGCCCACGTTCTGATTCGAAAGCAGGAGCAAGAACTGAGTTCGAGTGTGTGTCTCTCAAGCCCACACGAGAAGGAATATGTGGGCACCCCCGCTTGCCGATAAGAGTCTGAGGTTATGAACACATAATTCTTCAATTTCGGGAATGGCCGCCGTGCGGTTGTGCAACTCCCTGCTTCCATCGCTGTCTGTGGTAAGATCATATACTTAAGCTCGCGTTAGCTCGTGTTTCCCGTCTTCCTCGTTTTCACGCGATCGAGGAATGTCAAAAGCTACACCTGAATATTTTAGATGGAATTCATTGTGCCATGTCATGGAAGCAAAGCGAGTTCCTTCGAGACTTTCAATACTGCCAATTCGGTGTTGTGGAAAGAATGGCCATATGCTAACTCCTTCCACTTTCCTCTCGTTGAGGTTTTTGGATTGGGAATGGTGAATTTTGTAAAGAAAGTCTGTCGCGAGGTAGGGATGTTGGAGAAGAGTTTTTGCAATTCTCATCCGAGGACTCTACGATTGGATTCATGTTCTTGGTGCTAGTTAAACTCTGTGCTCAATTCTTCGTTTCACTTCAATTTGTTGCGGATTGTTAAACGACAGTTGTTTTGATCGAGTGTTTCATGAATTTGATATCCTTCTTCTGTGCAGTTGATCTTTGCGAATTGTCTTGTCCGTCTTGTGAATTCGCCTTGGAATACATATGCAGTCGTCTAAATTCCTTGTTTTTTGTAAAGTCACACTTCCGAAATAATAATGTCGCTTTAAAGAATCCGACTTGATTACTTTTGCAGTTCGTCCTTAGTCAGTGCCCGCAACGTACATCCCGGTTCTGGCTGAGGCTTGCTTGCTGACTCCAGAAGAGCTCGTTCTTAGGATCAGGCTGTCGGAAAATCACAAACTCGTTTTCTCAAGTGAGGGCTGTGTCCTTTGTAGTGTGCACATATTGCCTCCTCTTAGACGTGTATAGCAGACTCGGAGACCCAACTGCAGCCTGACAGCTGATTGTGTTGAACATTTGATTAGGTTCGTAAAGTTGGTTGGACGCGGGACGCATTCAGCTTCCAAGGAGCTTTTAAGACAGGATTCTCACACACAGCCGCGATGAGTACTTCTCACATTACGAAGGCCGCAAGCGATGGTATGTGTATTAATCTGGATTGCTCTTGTAAATCTGCGTGGTTCTCAGGATTTTGAGCTAGTTTTTACCTGATAATTTCAATTGAGATTGCTCTTGAAGCACACTTACTTATCCCTATGACCTCTATAAATACACGTCAAATCACTTAAACCTGCCTATCAAATCGTTTCACGAAAATCCATCAGTCTCGCGAATATAGCAAAAGCAGGAACGGCTTGACTGATCTTTCATAATGCCTAATCTGAATCCTAATCTTGTCGAAGGATCTGGGCAGTGGTGGGAGGACGATAGGGATTCAATACATTCTATATCCTATCAACAGTGACATATGTTAAGACACACGTATCACTGTGATCCTAGAGCTCTTATGTATCACTGTAGAGCTCTAGAGCTCTATCATATACGTCATCTAGAGCTCCAATTCATATTCCATCGGTATCTGTTAATGTGAATTTTCGTGGACTTACTCAAAGCTGCAGCAGAGTCTCCCTTATCATAAATAAGGAAAGTCCATGATGATGAGTGGAGTTTTGAAACCTGCAGACGTTGCAGGCCAAATTCCTTTGGCGAACAAGAGATGCTTGAGTTGTGAAACCAATGATATCAAAGGTTTGACCGAGGAGGCAGCCAAGAGCTTATTGTCGCAGGTGAATGTCTTTGGTTCAGTTTGTGAGATTTCATACGGCAATGATGTTTTTCCTAGTTAAATGTGCGGTCAAGACGATGAGGTTTCCGGACTACGAATTTATGCTTTAACGAGCATCAAGCAATATCAATAACCATAGAGTTGATTGTTTGCACACGGGGGCGCCGATCGCCACAACTCAGGGATTAACCTACAGTTTGCTATCACAGGTTATCTTTTTAGACATAATACGAGTATTTCGCAGCCTTTTGTGGGGTTGTGGGAATTGTTCACTCTTTTGTTGGTTTTCAAGGTAGATTATTGAGTTTGAAGCTTTCAAATCTTAGGGAAAAAAATATGACTTTTTTGTTTTGCATATTTGTCCTTTCAGTTTCTGTAAACACTATGATACTTCTTTAATACTTGAGGTTTAGTCTAGTCTTCAAGCTTATTCATTAAAATATTCGCATGTTTAAATATCTGAAGGATTGAATCACGTATGTGCTCATTGTGGCTTTGTTGTTGATCTAGACCCCAGAATGGGAAATTCTGGACCTTGATGGGAAGCTCCAATTGCAGAGGAGCTGGAAATCGAAGAACTTTTTAAAAGGTTTAGAATTTTTCCAGCGCATTGGAGAAGTTGCAGAGTTAGAAGGTGAGCACTGACTACTAGATATCAGCAACCAGATATGAGATTATTATTTGCTCCGTTTTGACAGCAAGATTGCTCTCTTTCGCTGCTGTAATCTAATAATATCATCTGCCGATAAATATCTAGCAACTGTCTTTGGAAATTTACTCTTTCAGATCACTTCTCTGACAATTATCGGTGAACAGACTTGTCTGGTTTTTGTTCTCCTTGATAACAAGATCTAGTGATTGTGATTCCTTTGCAAGCCATTTGACCTAAGGATCTGGATCTTTAATTAGAAGCAGTTAAACCCATAGCTAAGACACTAAGCCCTTTTACTGATTTTCTGAACATGAAAAGGGTTGTCGGGAATCAGACGTCAAGTGTTATATGCGTAAGTATCAAACACATATGTAAGGTAATTCCTTATTTTATTGGACACTAAGTAGCTGGGCTGGCATCTCTCAGTACAAAAGATAGGGAAGAAAATAACAGTCTCTCTGTGGCTATGTGCAGGCCATCATCCAGATTTACACCTTGTAGGCTGGAATAAAGTGACCGTAAACATTTACACTCACTCAATAGGTTCTTACTCTCTTGCGAAATTTTTTGGATTTTTTTTAAGCTGTTTTAAGCAAATTTCTTTCTATGGTCTTCAGGCCATTCCAGGCACTTAGTTGGATATCAGCTCGTACTCACTTAGACTGGAAATCGTCATTGGAGAAGGAGCTACATAAAATATGTCTTTTTTGTTGCTGTATCGAATTAGTACTTGCAGGTGAGGTGAGATACATTACTGTATAACGTCTATTCTCTCATTGTTGTTGGTTAGGCTGAGAAACAACAAAGTGCCGATGCATTCCTTTCATGCACCCTGCTGTGTCCACGAATCTCACATGTGCTTGTGATATGTCATCTTTTTCCATGCAGGTGGGTTGAGTGAAAACGACTTTATACTTGCTGCTAAAATCAACGCTTTAGACTGCAAAGAACTTCTACGGAAGGGTGCACCAAAACAATCTGCTGTCTCAACTTAAAAGAGTGTAGTGTGCACTTTATGCTAGATCACCATGTTGTGGTGCTTTATTTTCAAAGAGCAACAAACTTGGCGACTCGTATATATGAGGAGGTCTAAAAGTAAACGAAGCAGTAGTAGTCTGTACATATGCGGGATCTCCAGAGCTGAAAACATTATTAAACACTGCGGCGTTTTGTTTTCACCTTGTTATCTTCATTGAATGTGTATCTGTTCATGAAATGCTCCGTTGTAGGAACATGGATGCAGGAATAAGAAGTTAATAGAACATTTAAAACTTGTGTCCATATCATGAAATGCTCCGTTGTAGGAACATTTATGCAGGAATAAGAAGTTAATAGAGCATTTAAAACTTATGTCCATAGTGTTTCTCTGGCTACTCTCAATGTCACAGAAGATGGTGATGAAGGGTACTTCGAGAATTTACCCAGCTACTTCGAGACAGTAATTGGCGATGATGAGGTCGTCGTGATTTTGCTTAGCATTTGGTTCTCACTATGATCACAGCGTTCCGCTTTTAGTTCTGAATTGAGTATTGCATGGTGATGTCTAATTGTTTTTATATATATATATTCCTTTATGTTGCATTTGTCTGTTGTATCATCTTTGACAACCGACCAATAAATCAAAAGGAGAATTTGCTTCACTTTCATATTAATACTATTACCACTTCTCAGTGGAAGACTATGAGCAATCTGGTGTCCATCATTCCAGTATGCAATAAATGGCTGAGCTTTACAAGAATGAGCTTTAGCCCAAGCTTTCCTCTCTAGGTCAGGGGACAGGTATTTTACTGCGGGAGATAAGAAAACCTTTACCATGAACTGAAAACATCAGAAGATCGTCATCTGACGTGCCCATTTACCATGCTTCAAAGAACCTGAGCGATACATCTAAAAATTAATTCGATGTGTTATGAATTATGTTCTGCCGAGTGTATGATGGATCACAGGTGTTCAGATGGTACAAGTGCCCATGTTCCATGATGACGAGAGCTTTCACAAATTCACAATGTGAAAGTGATCTATGTGTATTTGTCCATCATGACTTCCGTAATTTGAAAAGCATTTAAAAGTCAGCTGGTTAATGTTGTTTCTGGTTCAAGTGAAGTTATGTAGGCCTTCACATTCTTATAGCAAAAATTTAACGACATATAGGTGTCCATGAGTAGAAAACTGTAGTCTCTTGAAACCAAGGGTCATGAAGTCTGCATCAAACTAAGACTCTAAAAAGTATGTCCGGTGACGTTTGACCTTACGTACTATGTGAGTCACACCCGGCATGTAAGCGAGGCGATCTTAAATGTTTCAGACCACAGGACGAGCTCAGTCTTAGGAAAGAAATAATCTTCCAAATCCAAACGTAGTTAGTCAGATCTTAACTGTAAGGCATACTAAGTTTAGGTTTTGACTAAATTCGCTATTCGATAATCATTTCATGACACTCTAAATCCTCTTTGTTTGTGATCCCATGGTCTTCATGTGTGTCTTCATGTGTGTTAATCGCCTTCCAGACTATCTACATCTCATAAGTCCCAGTAAACAAGAAGTCTGTGTGGTATTGCAGCATCATGTGCTTAAATTTTCTACACGTCAACACAGACACACACATGTGCAATTGTCTACATGTCCATGATGATATAAGTATGTACCCTGTACAGGTGGCAGTTTTCGCGTAGACCAGTCATATTCTATGGGTTTTTTCAAGACTTCATTTCTATGAATCTCTAGCGCGAGACCCATATATAGCTCAGCAGGTGATAAATTTCCTCTCAAAGTCATGATTATGAAACCCGTCGTAAGATTTTTTCATACGAGGTAGCAGCGGTCGCAGTGTACGATGGTGTGTGTTTCTCGGCAATGAGTACTCGGGGCAGGGTAATCTGACTTCGCACACTGCAGCCACCTCTTATCCACTCTGAGAATTCGTGCTTCTTGTCATTCATGATTCGTGCTTGAAGCATTCAGCATTCGTCCAACCGGAGTTTGAATCAGGTCTTGGAGATATGACGACACTGGCCAGTTTCTGATGGGGAAACATGTGTTTTCTGACACGTGGTCAGACAGTTCTTCCTCTGTGCAAATGGCAAACTTTGTTTCTTCTCAGGCTGAGGCTGAGTCGGCACTCAACGTTTCTGCAAACTCCTGAGCCCTCCTCTCTATCTGAGAAATCTGCTGCTGCTCCTCCTCTTCATGATCATCATCATCAGGTTCTCGGATTTCACCGCTGTGCCTCGAGAATCTGCCATCCACCCATCATTGCGTGTGAACTGAAGCCCGTCTTTCCCATCCCCTCCCGTCCGCAGGACCAGTCTACTCCAGAGTGTCTGCAATTTCCACCATCACGACGAATCTGCGGACTTCCGCTCACCATCCTCCTCTAGAGAAACGAAACACACACGCGCACACACACACCACGAGCGGCAGCAACCCTCGGCTCCACTGACGACCACGGACCATTTGTGTGGGAGAGTTGTTTCGACAATTTTGTCGAAGAGGCTTGCTCCCATCCGACTCGCTCATGCATCTCGAATTCGGATGGGAGAAAAGTCAAAGCGCCACACGGGAAGTCCAAGCCCCCGAGCGACTTTCAGAGAGGGGGTAGGGGGAGGGGAGGCATGGTTCGTTCCGCCGTGTTTGACCCAGACCCCGCCTGTCAGCCATTATGGCCGCCATGGCAGCCAAGGCAGGTTTTGTTTGTAGCACGATTTAAGCATCTACGTGCTGCGGGAGCCTTGCATGTAGCTTTTGCTATCCCTCGGCATCGCCTCGTTCGAATTGGATCGTCGCGAGTGAGCGGGCCGAGGTAAATCTGGACGCTGGCCCTGATGGGAACTGGAGGTAAATTTAGGTAACGTCCGCACGTCATGCGTTTGTTCATAACGTGCTCCATGACCCCTTAACTGCTCGCATATTCCCCAGATGCAGATACTTATGGCGGCCCAAATTTGGTATACGATCCCCCCCTGTGCTAATCACCGAGCGCAAGTACACACGCGCACTCGCGCACTCTCTCTCTCGCTCCCCGTCTCCATCTCCTTCCAGGTCTCCCGGTCAAAGGACATGAGGTTTGGCTGCGAGTCGTTGACGTGGATGGCCGTGGTTTTTGTTGACCGCGGCTCGCTCGCTGCCCATTTGACCTCACCACAACCTCGCTCCTCAACTGTTTCCTCGAATTTTCAGCTCACCGTGTCCGAGCCCTGCACTGCGTAGATCTTCAGCACCACCTTTGGGTCCAGTCTCCCATTGCTTTCTGCTTGATCCGTGGCTATGTTTTGTTTGTCCCTTACAGTATTGCTGGGAGAGATTTGTTTGATGGGACCCCTGCGGAAAGTAATTTGCTTGATGTGAACCCTCGGGTTTAGTTTTACCCGATAGGACCCCAACGACAGTGTGCCGTCGGAAATAGTTTTTGTAACTACGATTACTACTAGTTATAATGCGGAAATTACAATAAGAGATCAATCCTTAATTATAATTTCTAGTGGATTATCACGGGAACAAAGATCGATTTTGCTCGAAGTGCAATTTGTTGTGCTTCAATTCTTCCAATCGCAAAGATTCGCGAATTTCTCTGTTGCCTCCCACCTGCACACTCCATCCGTAACCCTGCGTGGTCCGAGCTCAAGTCTCTATACAGATACAGAACAACAACATAAAAACAAGTGAGTATGATGGTGTGCGAAGTCCACTCTGTCTGCGGGTGCGATGGAATCGTTACACTCTCTTTAGTTGTTATTAGAACATGGGTGACGGTGCATCGTTCATGGGGTCCCATCGGGTAAAATGAATCCTGAAGAGTCCCATCAAGCAAATTACTTTCCGCATGGGTCCCATCAAGCAAATCTCTCGTATTGTTGGACATTTGCACATTTTCAGACAATCGGTTCGGAATAGATTACCGACATATCGAGCTAGAGTTGACAGAAACGGGTTGACATTTTTGTATCTCTATGAGACAGGTATTTTAACGTATAAAGAGACGAATCTACAAATAGAACTTCATTCTGCAGAATTTTCTTCAAACTCTGGATTCTATCTAAAACCAATCGATGTGTCGAATGTCACTGGAGTAAATGTTTGGGATCCTAAAGTTCGCCCTTGATAATCCGATAAAGACCATCTGTGATCGAAGGACTCGTAAAGCACGCTGGTCCAACCATACTTTAAAAAAAAAAAACTTTGCTCTTTCGAAGTTAATGTATGAAGCAGAAAGGGTTTTGCTAGCGAAACAAAATGCTTTACTTAAGTTTTTATCTCATGCAGAACAGAAATCTTAAACGATTGGATATGTTTGAAACTTAAGTTATCATATGTTCGAATAAATAAAATGCCAAATTGATACATGTACATTCAAATGATAGCTCAAGCAAAAAGTGACGATATGAAATCCACCAGCAATCCTTTTGCGATATGTTCATGATCCTTTTTTCAACCAAAAATTACGAAGGTAACTGATAATTTTCAGTAAATGGTGAAAGGAAAAGTTTTATTTCTTCTAGGATAAAAATCTGTTTAAATTGATTCGATACACTCGTCTTGAATACATAAATATTTTGAATATTTTTCTTAAAATTTTTGAAACCGGAAAGAAAATGAATTTCATTATTTGGAAAATTAAAAATTCATTATTCAAAAATGATAATTATAAGAGTGTTGAATGATAATGATTATGAATGACTGGAATTTTTATTCGTTTCGAATGAATGCAGAATAATTTAGTTTTTCATTATATAACTAAAAGTAAATTATTCTGCATTCATCACAAGAATAAATAATAATTTTAAATTAGATTTAGCAATATATCCATCACAATAATAAAGTTTGCAGATTCAAAAATTGTAACACGACTAAAATATTCTAAATTTATCATCTTTATGGGAAATTTAATTGTATACCATGAAATTTTTTAAGAATTTTAATTTTATTAGACAAATGTATTTACATCAAAGCATTTTATGATCAATATTTTTGTACACATATATGGAATATAAATATGATTTATTTAATAATTTGCATGAAACTTTCTGATCAGATTGTAAATTAAATAAAGAAAACATGTCCGTATTTATCTCAAATACATCTTCTTAGAATTTTGAATACCTTCAAATTGAACTCTTGGTGATTATCCATATTATTGGGTAAACACTAAGAGAAGTTAAATATAACGTCTCCAAGTGATATGTAGAAAGTTTATTTTTCCACTTACATATCATTGTACTTATATACAACATATGCATGACTACTTCTTGCATTCTGTGTAGGTTATAATAAGCAGCATGATTCATTTTTTTCTGGACATCATTAGATGGTTCCACATGAGAAATTCCATATCAATAGATTGTTTAAATTTGATGGTACATCATGACGGAGGTCTTGAAGTACGAAACTTCAAATTATGATATTATGTAAACCTAGCCTCTACACCCTTCATTGTTTCGGTACTTGTTCGACTTGATGGAAACGAACCATTTTCATTTTGCCTCCTCGGAAATCGAGGTGAATCATATTGGTTATTTTTTTATTTCTTTACTTATTTACATTTGAGAAAAACTTTGCATTGAAATATACACTATTTTATGAAACAAAAATTATTTTCACAAGTTCAAATCTCCAACTGAGGATCTCCCGAAAAGCAAAAATGTTTTTTTTTTCCTGCAATAAATACTGCTCTAAGATGTTGTATAGATGGATACAACTCAAGCTGATTCAAGGGTGGCATTGTTGATTGACATGGAAGTCTTATGTTAGTCCATAATCATCTACAAACTAATACCTTACAATAATAATATCATGGAAATTGTGATAGACATAAAAATATGCAAAGTGTAGGGCATTTAGGAAATTAAAGATACTTTGATCCAACCAATTTGATGACATCTTATATATGACGTTTGATTTCTATGTGATATTTAAGTGATTGTGATGATTTCTTGTTTGTTCGTACACACAAGCTTACGTTTCAAAATATAAACATCTGACTTCAGCGCGATTCAAAGAATGGCTATTTGTGTTTTTTCAAATCCTCGAGCTTACTTTCAGTCTTGAAAAGCCTCATTCTGTTAATTTTACCTCGATTGAATGCTGTAAGTATCACTGACTTGATTGTGGATCACTTGGAACCTTTTTTTTTTAGAAATATGGTGCGAAATTTTTTATAAGCAGATCCATGTTATAAGGGTGATTCATTCTCAGATACATGAAGTTTTCTAAATTGAAAATACTGTTAAATGATAATCCATTTATTATCATATATGTGATATTTTAAATGGCTTTAGAATTTTTCATACGTTCCTCATAAATATATATACACGACAGGAGAAGAAAACTTATTACTCATAGCTTTATTTTACTGGAAAAAACAAGTATGTGCTTAAGGATCGATAATCATGTCAGAAATTCCTAATTTCCCAAAATTACCTTTGGAATGTAGATGGTCAAAGGAGAAACTTTAATAAGGTTAAAAAGAATTCGAAGTGGAAGTCAAAACGAAGAAAATATGGTAAAATCATATCCACAATAATATCTCTCCTACGATCAAATTTTTCTAGCTATAAAACTTATTGACTAAACCTTTAGTTTACCCAAAACAAACGCTATTTCTCCATCAGAATTAATAACTGTGCAGAATGCTCCAACTTTTGAGAAGTATAATCCACATTAGTTTGGTGCACAAAGTGGATGTTTCGATCGATTAGGAGAATCGATGCCTACAATAATTCTCTGCGATAGTTTCCGTAATCGCAAGCTGAGGGTGAACTATCATTAATAGACCAGTTTTGCCATCCATGTACTCAGTAGAACTGCGTAAAGACCGCTCATCCGAAGACGGATCCAAAAGCAAAAGCTGGCTCTTGAAGTATAAAGGCTCCGTTCAGTAGATCTCAAACACTTCCACTATCCATCATCATACCGCGTTATCAGTACATTACCGGTGTCCTTCGCATATCGATCCCGTTCATAAATGTTTACACGCTCCACTTTATAAGACCCGGAACGGCGTACACTTTCCTCTATCATGCGCATACGCCGCTTCACGACAATCAGAAATTCTACGGAAGATGCTTAAATAATTGAGATCATATACTCTTATTCTGAAACCTTCGCCGTTTGTTATAAGCTCCTGCATGGAGTTTTGGAGGTAATGCCATTACACGGATTGCACCACACCTCTCAGAAGAAATAAAAAAAATCAACTCTTTCAACAAAGGTACGAAGACAGGAAAGAATATTGGATATAGTTCCCATGTCGCACATGACCTTTTTGTTGGCAAATGCAGTCCTGTCTGCAGGATATGGGCCGAACAACACCTGGCGCATATCCCTGCTCAAGGGCGAGAGTTTTCTCCCAGGGAGAATGTTCAACAAACCGATACTTTTCGGCTTTTCACATGTGCATGGCTTTGTGCTGTAATGTACAGATTCTGTACGCAGCAGCAGCCGAAGAGCACACTCAAGGCAGAGTGCAATTCCGGTACAGGAGACTAAACCTCCTCCCATTTAATACTCGGTGCAGAACTCGACGGTCTAGAATAGCGAACCATGGCCAGGTCCCGTAGTCGTTGGGGCACTCGGGCGGCATGAGACATCCCGCTCCGCCCAGTCGGTGTCGGTCGGCAGCCGCTCTGGGCGGGACGCTTCTCGTGTGCCACGTCAGAACGGGCAGCAGTACCGGGTAGGACGAGACATCTCGGCAGTACCCGACGCCGTGGACGTAGGGGCGACTGTAGTCGGGGAGAACGGACTTGGTAAAAACAAAAAGCGGCAGAACCTCGTAATCGGGCGACGTACGACGTCGGACCGGATGATTACGAGGTTGGGAACCACTTTTGTCACATGCTTTAAACACATGCATTCACACACTTCCCGATCCGTTACATTATTTGTGAGAGGCATGGCATGGATGGTAAGCTCGCCACTTTCCCATCAGTAAAGTAATGAGT